CCCCCCCCCAGTGCAGACATGTGTCAACATACCCTTTCAGCTGCTCTTGAAGAACAAATGAAAGTTCTGATAGACCTCCTCCATTGGAAACACACATGCTTAATGCAGGATGGTGCAGGAGTTGCACAGATGACCTGCAACTCCTTCAGGAAAGCAAGCTTTGCTCTAGGACTCATGGGGATTTGTGGGCACAGCTAAAAGCAAGAGCTAGCCTGAGGTTCTAGAATCTAGATAAATAATCCCTGACTTCAGTTGCTAATGTTTTTGCCCTAATCCTAACCATCTGTATATTAGCATCATGCTAGTTCAGGGAGGGTTTTTGTTTGTTTGTTTTGTTTTCCCTTTTTGGTTTTTCAAGACACAGTTTCTCTGTGTAGCCCTAGCTATCCTGGAACTCACTCTGTAGACCAGGCTTCGAACTCACAGAGATCCACCGGCCTCTGCCTCACTAATGCCATGATTAAAGGCATGCGCCAACACTGCCTGGGCACATAATGCTGTTTTAACTGGGATTCAGGAAATGTGTTCCAGCTCTACCTTTCTGACACCTTAGACATTGAATTGAGTCATTCTCTCTGCAAAATGATGAGATTAGAAGAATTTAGAATAAAATCCTTCAGGGTACTCAGATGCCTGGAGCAGGTAGTAGAGAGCTACTGAGATGTGGAAACCAGGGAAGCTCACACATGTTCATTCCTCTGGTACCTCACCAAGCTTAGGAGCCCCAGGTCAAAGACCTGCCTGTCACCCTTGCAGTTTTTGGATGAACTCTGCTTCTGTTGGCTGCTCTGTGCTGGGCAGTGCCTCTCATTGCTTAGTTCCTGGTCTGGGGATACAGCTGTTCTTCCTCTGACCCATCCCTCAGTAGAGTGGGGAGGCCACAGTGAAGTATTGCTGTGTTAAATGGACTGTGGTCTCTGAGGTCCTCATCAGTTCACATAGCCCAGCTTTTCAAAGAGTCTTACTTTTTTTCTTCTGTAGTTGTCAGTTTAGTTTATACATATTTTGAAACTTATGTTCTGTGACAGTTGGTTGAAAATTGGCTTAGAGCCTCCAGCTTTTAGACTGTCGAGTAATCACCGTCCTGCTACATAATTTATGTACTCATGTCTCCTGGAAAGCAGAAGTTAAATTGAAGTAAGCATTTTTCTCAACTTGCAACATCTCTAATCAAAGCTTAACCCCCTTTTAGGCCATATCCCCCATAGTAGATTTAAGAAAAAAAAAAGTATACTTGACTTCAGTGAGTATTGTCGTTTAGAGTGGCATTCCCAGGCAAAACCTTTTGCCTTTCTCTGTTCAATGGCATCTGCCAAGAAGAGGCCTGAGGGGACACTTTGTATATTTTCTGTTGTA